AAGGAACATACAAATTCCAAAAGGAAAAAGGAGAGAAACTGCATTTGCCCTGAACATGCACACTTTTTCTTGTTATTCTTTAAGTAGTACAGTATACAACTATAAATGTAGTATTTAAAATGTATTATGCATTATTAGTAATATAGAGATGATTTAAAGTATACAAGAGAATGTACATAGTCTATATGCAAAAACTATGCCACATAATATCTGTAGATTTTGGTATCTGTGGGGGTCCTGAAACTAATCCCCCATGCATACTGAGGGATAACTGTATAATACCAGTTATATTTCCTTGATTATGTACCATGTGTGATAGTACATGAAAAGTTATACCAGTAATAATGGGCCAGGTTATGATACAGTAACAGCCCCCCAAATCAGTGAATTAATGCACAAAAAATTTTATTTCTACCTCACACAGTCTGCTGCAGGTTCAGGCAACATTCCAGAACAACGGTCTTCCATATGTTGGATCTACATTCCATCATATGCATATCTTATGTCACCTCAATAGCACCTCTATAATTGCTTCCACGGGATAAGACACAAACCTCACTTCCTTTCACAACCCATTGGCAATGGCCAGTTTCATTACTCTTCCCAATTACAAGGGTACCAGGAAATGATGTACTTACATAGGCAGAAAGGAGACTTATACATAGGTATCAAGACTTTCTACTATAAACTTTAAATGGTCTTCAACAAATGAGACTATATATGACAACACAGTCCTGATCCCAACAACCAAACTATAGTTTGTAGCTGCTATAGTAGGTGTTTGTTATTGCTATTTGGTTTCTATTCTTATAATTTCTCTTTCCTAACATTTTCCTGCTGGTATCTAACCCTCCACTCAGCTCAAATGCTTTGAATGAATCTTATCTCCATGTCCCAAAGAGGACCCTAAGAGACTCAAATAAATTCATATACTCTATTTCCCTTGAAACAATCACTAGATCAGAGATAGGCATCGGACCAAAACCAGTCCCTTGTGAATTTCAGTGCTTATACCCAAAATACTGGGCAGAAAGGCATTCTCACCCCACACACAAAAAATAAAGCCCATATTATGACCATTAGAGGGGTCAGTTTCAGAATTAGGCCTATACTATAAAGGACAGAATGGAGGAGTAAAGAGCATCTGATAAAGTGAATAATTGGTGACAAAGTTAAGCTGCTCAGCCAACCATCTTTGAATCTGCCCTATCTTTGAACTTTCCAGTTTTGTGAGTCTTTCTTTCAATGTTTAAGCAAATTTGATTTGGGTTTTCTGTTTCTTGTATGAGAAAACATTAACTTGTAAGCCAAGGTCACCATCTCCTAGATACTCCTAGGGCAATGACCCAGCACAAAAAAGTATTTGACAGGAACCAATAGCTGGCCATTTCTGCCCACTGAGGGGTTGAAATGAGCCATCTTTACAACTTTCCACTGGGCCAGGCAACACTATCAAGAAAACTTCATGACAGAGGTCCTATTTGCCTTGCTTAATATGATTTCCTTCCCTGTTCAACTTTCACAGGTACTACCTTTCAAAAAACCTTGAGACTTCTGTGTCTCATCTTAGCTTCTGATTCAATGTGGCTGAATGGACATACAGACTAACCAAAAATTTGATGAAAGTTAGTAAATGTATAGTGAGTAAAAAAAAATAAGAAAAGCATCTTCTGCAACTCCTAATGAAATAATATATCTTGTCAATAATTATTGATGAATGTTAAACTGTTAGGTAATATCTTAATAGGAAATTTGAAGGAGGTATCACACGAATCCTGAGATCCACTGATCAATTTCAGATTCACTAAAAGTGAGAAAACTAGATATGTGTCTCATAATCTGATGTAATATAATATTCACTGTACTGCTTATTAAGTTATCTGGGCAAAAATATTGAGTCTGAATCTAAATAAGCCTTTAGATCTATCATTTTACCGGAAACATGGAGAGTAGAAGCATAAATAGAAACCACCATGAGAGATCAATAAGGCAAATCAATAATGGTGAACATTTTACAAAATAAATGACCATTTTTAAATTTTTTCCCCCAACAAATCAACTATATGAAAATAATCCTCAACTCACTCTATGAAGTAAGTGTTACCCTGATAAAACCAGTCAGTACAAGAAAAGAAAGTTCAAGAAAATTATAATTTCATGTTCCTTAAGAACCCACACAAAAATTCTCAATAAACTGCTGGGAGCCATTAGCCAAGTAAGTAGGTATGACAATTTCCTTGCCAGCGTACCCCATGTTGCAGTGACATTGAATGTAGGTGACCTTGTTCAAGGACCAAGGCGGATTAGGGCGTTCCCGGTTTAGGTTCCAGGTTTAAGGTTTAAGATTATTCCTGCTGGGAATAGGGCGTATCCTGCTGCCTGAGTTCCCCTTGAGTTCTCACGGGATTCAGACAGTATTTTTTGAGAGATAGAAGCCCAGTGGAGGTGGATTTGGGCAGAGAACGTGGATTTCCCCAGAACGTGATTGTAGACGGCTGGTGTGAGTTCGGGAATAAAGAGTTGCTGTTTGAATCTACAAGCTGTGTGGTGGCTCGTGATTGTGTGCCCAGCCAGACTGTGGCAATAAACTATTATCAAATCAATCCAAATCATATATAAAGAAGACAAAAAATAATGACTACATGGGGCTAATACCAAGGATGCAAATTTGGTTTAATACTTAAATGTCAAGGAATATACTCCAGAGCTCTGGTTTGAATGTTTTCTTTCCCCAAATTCAAGTTGAAACTTATTCCCCAATGCAACAGTATTAAGAGGTAAAACTTTTAGGAAATATAAGGGCTCTACCCTTCCTTGTGATGGGATTAGTGCCTTTACAAAGGTATGGAGGGACTGGATAGCTCCATTTTGTTCTTCTGCCGTTCTGCCATGAGAGAACACTGTTCATCCTGAGGACACAGCTTTCAAGGCACCTCTTAGAATCACAGACTCGTTCTTTTACCAGACACTGAAACTTCCAGCACCTTGATCTTAGACTTACCAGACTCCAGAACTAGGAGAAATAAATTTCTATTATTTATAAATTACCCAGTTTGTGACATTTTGTTATACCAGCAAGAACAGACTATGACATCTGGTATACTAATAGGTCAAAAGAGAAAAACTACATGATGTAGAAAAAAGTATTTGACAGACTCAATATCCATTAATGTTAAAAATTCACATCAAATTAGGACTAGAATGGAACCTCCTCAACCTGATTAAGGGCTACTATTGGAAAAAAAAAAAAAAAAGCAAAAGTCTTAAAAAAATAACATATAATGTGAAAAAAAAAAAGCCTCCAACATCTTCCTGTTAAGATCAGGAACAAAAATGTTCATTCTCATCATTCCTATTCAACATTGTAGTGGAAGTTCTAATCTGTACAATAAAACCAAAACAAAGTGGGGAGGGCACAAAAAAAGAGAAAAAAGAAATGAAAGACATACAGGTTATGTAGAAAGAAAACTGTTCCTATTCATGGATGACATTATCTATTCAGACTATACCAAAGGGTCTATAAAGTAACTCCTAGAATTGATATGTATATTTAGCAAAATACAAGATACAAAATCAAGAAACAACAATTATCTTGGCAATAACTATTAGCCATAATTCAAAATCAACATAATTTACAATGGCTCTACAATTCAATATGTAAGTATAATATAGGACCTTTATGTTGAAAAGTAAAAATACAGGCCCCAATGGTTTTTGTTTTTGTTTTCCTTTTAACTAGATGAATCTGTCAGTCTGGCTTTGTCATGCACTTGAAAGTATCCGAGTATATAAAGAACTCCCAAAGTTCAATGTTAAGAAAACATACAGCCCAACGCTTTATAAAATGGACAAAAGACCTGAACAGATAATTCACAAATGGATACATGTGAAAGATAAGCACATGAAAAGCTGTTCAACATCATTAGACTTTAGGGAAATGCAAATTAAAACCATGAGATATCACTACATACCTTTCAGAATGGCTAAAATAAAAATACAAATGCTGGAGAAGATTACAAGCAACAGAAACTCTGATGGCAGGGAGGCAAAGTGATAGAGACATTCTGGAAAAACAGCTGGGCACTTTCTTCTAAGTTAAACATTTATTTACCATGTGACTTAACAGTTCCCCTCCTGGATATTTAACCTTGGCAAGATGTTAAGATTTGACTTTAACCGAAATTTCCTTAAGCAGGTGATTAAATTAACAAACTGTGGTACATCCATACAGTGGAATACCACTTAGCACCAAGCTATTGATTGATACAAAATGGGTAAATCTTAAGTGCATTTTTCCAAGAGAAAGAAGATATTTTCCAAATGTAACCTACTGCATGATTCCATTTATATTACCAACTCAAAACTATAATACCAAAGTTTAGATTGGTTGGTGTCAGGGGTTAAAGTGTGGGAAGGTGTGACTATAAAGGGAATTTTCTGGGGTGATATAACTGTCCTGCATCCTGATTTTGGTTATTGCTGCAGAAACCTATACATGCTTAAATTCTAAGAATAAAACAAAAAAACTTTACTGTGTGTATACCAAAAATGGGAAGAAATATGTGATCTGTTTTTTGAAAATTTAAAAAGAAAGAAGGAAAAAAGGGAAGATTAGATTGGGGAGACAATACTACCAAATGCAATTTGTGGATCTTCTTTAGATCTTTCTTGATTTGAACAAATTAACCACAGAGGAAAAAAGTTTTTTATCCACCCAAGGAAAATTTAATGTGAACTTGGCTTTATATGTTAAATTTAAATCTTTGAAATATGATAATAGCCTGGTGTCTATGTAAAAAATATTGATCAGTTAGATACATATTTTGAAACACATGTGTAATGAACAGTATCAAGCCTGGGAATTGTTTTAAAATACTTTTGAGAAAAAGGGGGTGGGAGGAGGTTAGACGTTCACTATATTATACTCTAATTTTCAGTATGTTTGGAATTTTTCCCATAACTTTCTCTTGAAAATAAGGTTTTAAAAAATAGAATACAACTTCTTTTCAACATTTATTGTAAAGTAGCTGACACAGGCTTACAGTTGGTTTCAATCACAACATCAGATCTTTCCAATGCTGGTCCAAATAAGTAAATGCTATGTGTGCCAAAAATAATACTGACATGAAAAGTCTCCTAGAAATCTTATACTTTGAGCAATAAACAACTAAAATTACTATATTAGAAAGATTTGCAGAGTTAGAATTTAAAATAACAAGTCAAGGCAGTCTTCAATGACAGCATCAAAGAAATAAAGGGCAATAATAATTTTAAAGTGATAATTATGATCCTAAATTCTCAGCCAAAACCTCAAATGACTAGGCCTTTAAATTCTCATTAACATTTACATAGTTTGCTTTCTTGCTGTGTCAATCCAGCCTGTTCTTTTGAACATTATTATTATTTACTGTTTCTTGATTCCTCATCACAGCATGAGATGTAGATGATAAAATTTTCTCCTGAGGGGACAACACACAAGCAATACACAAAGATTAGCTGTTTAAGAAACAAAAATCAAATGAAAAGTTAAGAAATATATTCTGAATTCCCCCTTTTTTTTTGTAGTTTTTTTTTTTTTTTTTTTTTTGATGGGGGGTGGTGTGCCAGGGATAGAACTCAGGGGCATTTGACCACTGAGCCACATTCCCATCCCTATTTTGTATTTTATTTAGAGACAGGGTCTCACTGAGTTGCTTAGTGCCTTGCTTTTGCTGAGGCTGGCTTTGAACACAAGATCCTCCTGCCCCAGCCTCCAGAGCCGCTGGGATTACAGGCCTGCGCCACGGACCCAGCACTTCTTTTAGTTTTTAAGTCCATGATTCAACACATGCTTCTTTTGAGGGTATACAAGACTGAAGGCGGTAAGGTAAAGAAAACTACCAATTTAAAAGAAAGAAAATAATCTGATTACTTTTAGAAAACATAATTGGATATCCATTCATTTTTTAATATATATAAGAATAAATAGAACTTTATAACTGTGTAAGAGAGGGAGAGAGAAGGAAGGAGGGAAAGATTATTTAGATCTGCTTGGCAGACTTTTTTGTTCCCTTTCTTTTGATAATTACACCCTCTGCTTTAGTAACTGCTACCCCTGTCCCTGCACTCCTGATGAGGCTGTCAATCATAGTACATCTCTCCCCTAACTTATGACATTGTGCTAAAGGATGCAGGGATAGAATAGTCCAACATCTCATAATGAAGATCTTCTTCAGTGTCCTTTAGACCAATTTGCAAAGAAAACTAGAAAGAAGTGGATTTAGGGAAAGTGCAGACAGTTCTAAACTCTAGAACCAGGCCCTTGAAACCCTAGCCACTACAGCTAACATTTGAACTGTTGTGACTAGTCTGTAATCCTTTTAAACCACAACACTCAAGTATTTTCCTTATAATGGCTTGAATGGAGTTTTTATAATTTGCACCTGAAGAAATGTAAGAAGTTGTCCAAGGTCCAATGAATGGATCCTAAATAGTAGAGTCATCATTCAAGCCCAGATCTGTCCACCTCTACAGGCTTTTCCTATTCTATTTTATTTACAGATAATATATTCATAAAATCTAGTTTCCATAAGTTTGGGAATGGGAAAAGAAAAGGGGTCTGTGGTGGGGGTAGGGGTGGAGGGAAGGTCTAGTCAAATCCTTTTTATCACTTCTTGATTCTAAGAAGGAGGTAAAAACTTCAAATAATGTAACACTTAATAAAAACTTATTTTAACCCATTTCGCATGGTAATTAATGCATATGAGAAAGAACCTAACATGGTTAGCGAACGTCTGCTGAAAAGAAAAATCAAAGCTGTATACTTTGAAGAAATCTATCTCTTCTCTCTGCTCTACCCCACTGTAATGGTAATATAACTTTAAGTTTTTTAAGTTGAACAAGAGTACACCTATTTACTTTTTTAAACTGTTTTATTCACTGATTCACCAGTATATGCAAAGAACAATTACTGAAATGATGTTAGCAGTTTACAAATAATGGTTTATTTTTTATAAGTTACTTTTAACTCTCAAATCAAGTGTGATTTCCTTACTTTATTTTTAATGCTAACTTTCTTTTATTACAATTAATATAATTTGATAGTCTTGTTTCTTTTCTTTCCTGTATGATTTATTACTACCAGTTTGTTTGCTGTTATATTTTTAACAGCCTGGTTTATAGAAGATACAAAGTATTTGTTAAATCAATCAATAAATTATATTCTTACAAAATAAAAGCTACTGCTTTGATACTTACCAGTATCTTGAAATGTAAATATGATGAAGTCTGTGTCCTATTATAAACTGAAATGGAAGTCTACTGAAAGTCCAGGCATCATCCTAAGAGAACTAAGAGCATTCTGTGGTCCCGGTTAGGCAACAGCCTTCAGGTGAGTCCCAGGAATGTCAAGGCAGGAGGTAGGAGGGCTTCCTGCTTTAACCAGAGCAGCTCCTCACTAAGGGCTTTCCAAGAGACATTCTACACAAAGTTTGTTTTCTTTTTAAAGTTTCACTTTATTTTTAATTGATACACAATGACTGGACATATTTATAGGGTACAATGTGATGATCTGTTTCCAAGAAGGGTTGCTTAAAAAGAACTTGATGGTAGCATGGTAGGAACCAATATTCCAGAGAATCTGGAGCAAAAGGTAGCTGAAATGTCTTCATAGTCTAAGTTAGATTTATTTTTCCCTTTAAAAGTCCATGTACTGTGAAGTAATATTAATGCTTTTAAAGTAGTATATCATATATAAATTAATTCTGCCTCAATTTTAGGGATTTAAGCAATTTATGCTTTTAAAAATTGTAGAGATAAATGAAACATTAAGGCTTCTAGAGTCAGAAAAATTTTGACCTTTAACAATATAAAAACTTAAAAGTAAAACCTTCACAGGAGAATTTTACTCTTTGGATTCAGATATTTCTCCTTCCACTGTTAATATTGTATTTATATTTGATTTCTTTCTCTACACAGAAGGCACATAAAAAACATATTTAGCATTTCCCCTCCTTCCAGGTTTCATTTTATCTTAAGTAGATTTAAAACCAGATTAGCTGTAATAGGATTCCAGGATGTGGGCAGATGTCTACTTGTCACTGACGATATCTCTTGCAATCAGCTCCCTCATTATTTCATTGGTACCACCATAGATTGGCTGAACACGGGCATCCACATAAGCTCTGGATAAATTAGAAGATGGTTGAATTTATGTAAATAAAATATATTAGAAACTCTAAATTTCATCTTGCCAGGAAAATATTATTCATTTTAGTGAAATCTAAGCAATAACAGTTATTCATGCTTTTTTAGTACAGTATTCATACTAAATTGGCATATTAAAAAACCTACTAAGAAGGCTGGGGTTGTGGCTCAAAGGTATGTGTGAGGCATGGGTTCTATCCTCAGCACCACATAAAAATAAAATAAAGATATAAAAAAATAAACAACTACTAAGATATTGATAATTTATGTAGCTTTGTTTTAGTTTGCTTTATGAGATTATAAATTCAAAGTAACATTTATGTTTCACCTGATTTAATTTTGTAAAATTCAATATATACATAATAGCATTCTGAAAAGTCTGTTTTAAATTTAGAATTGCATAGAATATCTTAATTTATTGTTATCTTTAATGTTTCTCAGGAAATTGAAACCCACTGCTTATAAAGACAAAAACTGAGAAATTACTTTCCCAGTACCACCACTGGGAATATAATTGATGCTCTAGAAAATATTACTTACCACAAAGATAACAAGGAACTTATTTTTTGGAAATGATTAACAGTCACAGATGTGTGGAGTTCAAGTACTAAGTGTCTTGAGTCTACTGTGAGACTGTCACACACACAGTCAGGAGTTCACTTTTGATGGCCATGATAGCTACCATGCCAGTGTATAGCTATTTTTACCTTTTCTCATTTCAGTTTAACCTCTTGGTTCTGGGCTTAGGGAGATAAACATTATTGTTTTATAGGTAAGGTAAGTGAGATTCAGAGAAGTTAATACATTTACTAATTAGTGGTTACAATTTAGTGGTCACATAACAGAAAATTGGCAGACTGGATTGAGAATGAGGTATCCTGCCTCTATGGCAAATATCTTTTTCATTATGTCACAATACTGTCATTGGTCCAGGTGGGGCTAGTTGTTGAGCTCTGAACCTTCCTAGTAGACATTGAAAGGCATTTTTTTTTCTCATATATAAAATCTATATTTTAAAAAATTATTTAATTTTTAAGACAAATTAAATCTGCATTTCTTGGGCTGGAGTTGTAGCTCAGTAGCAGAACACCTGCCTAGCATGTGTGAGGCACTAGGTTCGATCCTTAGTACCTCATAAAAATAAGCAAATAAAATAAAGGTGTGTTATCCATCTACAACTACAAAAAAATTAAAAATCAATCAATCAATCTGCATTTCTCTAGGAGCATGACCAATGTTGGACTTGTGCTGTTCTATATTCATATTACCTTGTAAACAAGTAGGCACTCAGCAAATACTGATGTGACTTACCACATTACAAAGGAATTTTACAATCTCAGTACTTTCTAGTAAAAGTTTTAAAAGTTAGAGACATTTATGTTTTCAAATGCATTTTTTTCTGGACAAGCTTTGGGTTTCCCCACAAAATCAAACACTTGCATTTCAAGGACCTTCCTGGCATTTTAGCCTACTTCAACACTCCCAATGCTTTTCAGCACTTTTGAACTGAGTTAGGCATTGTGTTTTTTTTTTTTTCACACGAAAGAAGTTCCAACAGAGTATGTAACACCAGAGATCAGTATACCTTTTATAGGTTACTAATTAAATTTAGTCATCAACTAAAATTAACAGAGAAAGGCAGCAGAAGAAATGTTTAACCATACTGCAACCAGGCTCTCCATCTCAGGCTGCTCTTTCCTAGCCTGACAAAGAAATTTTCAAACACTTGCCCAAGCTTAAACCTCACTTCTCATGGACCCAAGCCTAATGAATAAGACTGAAATAAACCCACATGCTGAAAAACTAGTTATTAAAAACAATGACAGCAACAAAACAAATAACAAGGGAAAACAAACCACTTCTTTTATCTGTGAAACCAACACTCAGTCATTCATATATATATATATATATATATATATATATATATATATATATATATATATACACACACACACACACACACACACACACACACACACACATACACACAAATAATGTAGGGGGACAAAGAAACATAAGTGGGATATTCTTTTCTTAAACTGAAGCCTGTATACTATATTAATATGTTGCCTAACAGATCTAACAGGATTTTTTTTTTATATTAGGGGATATTAGGATTCCCTATGTCTTTGGGGAAAAAACATAGCAATCTAGATATATAGACACACTGAACTAATAAACTGGCCAAGAAGGGTAATTATTATTTCTTAAGGAAATGTCTTTTAAGTTAAAATCAGGGATTTTAAAAAGGACATCAAACTACAGTTTTTCTTGCTACTGACTTGAATGAATGAACTCTGATTGTGATCCTCTTCCCTCAGCCTCCTGAGTTGCTGATACTCAAGTATGCACCACCCTGGTTTATACACCCTAATCTTAAACCACAGAGATGGCTAACTCCTGTCCCCCTTATATGGGTTTCTAAGAACTTGAACTACACAAACACTGAACCACTCCATGTCTACATTCCCAGCATCAGTTGTAACAACACAGTTAAGCAGAAATATATAAACATCCAGTATTATTTTACTTTCTAAGCATTCTGAATATTATGAATTAAGATAGATGGATAATGGGAGTAAAACACAAAAATACACAGTAAAAATTCCAATGATGATTAAGTTTGTACTGGCATAACTCAAAGCTTATTTCTGATTTCATGATTATACACAGATATATTTTTTTAAAATCCGTTTTTCATTAAGGCATATTTGAAGAAATTCTCTGAAAGAATATACCAAAATCCAAGATTTAAAAAAAGAGAAAGAGAAATAAGTTAGCTACTTTACACCTGTATTCTCAAGGACAAAAAAATAAAACCAACCTCTGGTTGTTGCTAAATTCCCATAAATAGTTATAAATTATATATACTTAGTAATCAAAGCTTTCTGAACTGCCCAATGACTAGAGAAAATCAGCAAATCATTATCTAGGCTGAAGCTTCTGTTCTTAACTTAATGAAACTTAATAAAATGTTTCCTCAATAATGATTCTAGACATATCAAATGTTTCCAAGTATACTTGTCAAAACGATAAATTAAAAAACATTAGGCTGACAGATTGAATACCAGTTTGATAATTTTCCCCCTTCAGATAAAAATTAGAAAAAATTTTTAGAAGCCCAAAGCATTCTAATTCTCATATTCACAACTATATTGGACTTTTCTATGTATACCAAAAACTTCCTTGGAAAAATTTTATGAACTGAAAATACCATTAATAAAAGGAAAAATACATTTTCTACTATAATGAGAAGTGTAATGAGAGGTAGAAGACCACAGGATGAAGAAAAGAAATTATGGAGATAGAGGGAAAAAATCTGGAATAAAATACTGCCTATTTACAAATGATACTGTCTCAAGCTAAGAGTAGTCATGTGTAATACAATAAAAACATATATATTATCTCCTTTAATTTAAAGAGGTAAAAATTCAATCTGTAAAAAAGTCAAATACATTTGGTTTATTTTTCAGAGCAAAATAAATAATCAACTAATTAAGGTATGACATCTTTTTTTTTTTTTTTTGTACTGGGATTTAACCCAGGTTAAATGTACCACTGCATTACATCTCCAGACTTTATTTTGAGGAGGGTTCTCCTTAAATCACTGAGGCTGGCCTTGAACTTGTGATCCTCCTGCCTCAACTTCCAAGTTGCTGTGATTACAGGTATGTGCCACCACACCTGACTAAAATATGACATCTTAGATCCTTTCAGTATGCAAGTTAATTATTTGTACTGCATTTGTTTGTTTTTTAAAAGCAGCAGGGAGTGTAGCTCAGTGGTAGAATGCTTGCCTGGCATGGGCAAGGTTTGATCCCCAGCACGATGGACGCACAACAAATTAAAATAAATTAAAAAGTAATATATTTCCTTCAAAGACAAGTATCAAGCTTCAATATATTAGCCTCTTCACTTTCTTTAAAAATATCAAGATCCTAGTGGTGAGTCAATAAAAGAAAGCTGCTTCCATTTGAGTGAACATCTCCCTAGATAGTTGAAAAATGCCAAGATTTCATACCTTCTTTCCCTCTATATTTTATGTACAAATAGTACAGTAAAATTTTCTTTCATTCATGTGATTAAGAGGAGAATAACAGAGCAAATGTACTCACTTTGCAATTGGGTACTCCCACATGTATCCCCAGCCTCCATGGAGCTGTACACATTCATAAGCAACGCTGTTTTGTAAGTCTGATGCCCTAGATGACCGACATAAAAACAGAAATGTTTGAAGGGGATTTCCATGAGGTGCTTTATAATCAGGAAATGAACTATTTATAATTGTTTAAATGCACTCACTTATTCAAGCAATTCAAATAGAAACATTAGACAAGCAGAACAGAGGATAAAAATTACACAGGAAATAAAGAGAATTTTCACATAAAAAATACAACCCACAATTTTATTTCTGGCTGGTTTTTTATTGAGGTTAGAAACAAATGTGGAAAACTCATATTATTAGGTTTTGGCTATTTTTTGGCTTAAAAGGATATAGTAAAGACTTGAATTAAGTCTGATTCATGCAGATGCTCTGTATGATCTACATTATTCAATTATCTAGTTCTTTTTGCCTTTATAAAATGTCTTTTTCCTCCAAAAACGTCACTTCCTCCCTGAAGATCACAATTCTGAATTTTAATAACTGTGAAATAAGTTTTTTAGGGTTCTGACTTTTCAGAAATAACCTGGGGATAAAAGTGAAAAACTAAAAAGGTAGACTAGAAAAGTACATTTAATGTTTTAAAGGAAACATTAAAAAATTATTTGGGACCAGGCATGGTGGGGCATAATTGTAATCCCAGCAGCTCGGGAGGCTGAGGCAGAAGGATCTTGAGTTCGAAGCCAGCCTCAGCAACTTCGAGGTGCTAAGCAACTCAGTCTCTAAATCAAATGCGAAATAGGGTTGGGGATGTGGCTCATTAGTCAATGCCCCTGAATTCTATCTCCATACCACCCCCCCCAAAAAAAATTATTTGGGGATTTTTATTTCTGGAGGTAGAGAAGAAGGTGGGAGAGGAAGAGAGAAAAATGAATATGAAAAACTTGGGAAAAAGTATTTTCTGATCTTACCACAACAATTTTGTTTGTTGCACATGGCTGAGGATGGAACACAGAGCCTCAAGCATGCTAGGTGAGAAAGAGCTACTACTACGGAGTCTACCCAGTAACAATTTTAACTATCATAAAAATCCATCAGATAACCGGTAGGAATTTTATGCCACTTAAAACAAAAATGTAAGCTATTTAAAATTTGTTCCTGCTTATTTTTCAATAGTGGGAAATACAAAGTAAAGTTAAACATAGACACATTTTACTATTTAGAATAATTTTTAACTCAAGCCATAGGACAGGTGATTGTGTTCCTTAGAAATACATTAACAATATAATGATTAACAGACAAATCTCTTGGGGCAATAATATTTGTGATTCAATTTTTTTTATTTGGCAAATATTTTAATGGAAATATTGGCTGGGCTATAATAACTTGCTCTTTCTGCTTCAATGTTAAATATCATTATAAACCTGCTGGATTCAAAGACCAAGGTCAACACCTATGCAAATTTCTATTTTCCCAAAAATAACTAATTTTTTTTTTTTTACTTTTCCTTCTAGTCAAAGAACTTGTTATAAATGTAAAAGTCTCCCTAAAAGTGCAAGTTCCTAGTAATTCCACATTTTTCAATTCAACAATTTTATTATTAAGGAATCATTATATAAGGCACTATTCTACATATTTCCCCTATTCTATTTATGACTAAACTGAACCCACGTTAATGAATGACAAGAATTTTTTCTAGTCTACTTTGGGACTAATGAGCTGTGAGAATGTTTTCAAAAAGAGGAAACCAAATTCACTTCTACAATCTAATTTAGATTATATATTCTTGCATCTTTTTTTAATATCTATTTTTTTAGTTGTAGTTGGAAATAATACCTTTATTTTATTTATTTATTTTTATGTGGTGCTGAAAATCGAACCCATGGCCTTACACATGCTAGGTGAGCATTCTACCTCTGAGCCACAACCCCAGCCATATTCTTGCATCTTAACATACACAAAAGCCTTGAAAGGGGTTGTTTTTCAATTAACTCATCTTTAACATCACTGTTAATCTTAAATTCTTATAAATCTTTCTAAATGTAAAACTTTTTCCCTTTCATTTTAATAAAACATGTACAACTTTTGATTAGTTAATAATTCAATACTTCTTTTTAAGATATGAAAAATAACGAAACAGAAAAATCCCATCCAGGTACTTTAAATGTACTTTACTAGTCTACCCTTTAGTTTTTCACTTTTATCCCCAGTTTATTTCTGAAAAGTCAAAACCCTAAAAAACTTATTTCACAGTTATTAAAATTCAGAATTGTGATCTTCAGGTAGGAAGTGACATCTTTGGAGGAAAAAGACATTTTATAAAGGCATTTAAAAAAGATATTTTATAAAAATCCTGGATTTTATTTTGCAAATAACAAGAAGCTATCCCAAGTGAAATTAACTTAGTTAAAATTACCAAATGGAAGAACTGAGAATCAATTCCAAGACTCCTAAGTTTTGCTTTTCTCTTGCAGCCTCACTGTATGTCACTTGTCAGATAATTTGAAATTAAACTATTACTTGAATGAAGTAATCTTAGTCATTCTACTTCAGTCTCTTAATACTTTATTTTGAATAGAAAGTTATAAATTAACAACTTGAGTAATTTTTAGCATATTAGAAACAGGCCTAATGGGAAGTTTCAGCAGTTTTTAAAAGTTGATTCCTACTGCTATTTTTCATTTATACAGCCTTCTTCCTTAATACCCTCAAGGCTGAGTTTAATGGCAAAATTCCATAACAGTCTGAGCAAGCACCACATTTTAATTACTGCAGCATGCATACCAATATTTCGCCATAGAAGCAGAGGCAGAATCCAGATGTTTCGTTTCATGTAGCTTCAGACAGCTGTCCACAAAAGATCTGGTTACACATATGTGTGTTTTTAATTCTGCTAGTTTATGCTGCACTGTCTTGAGTTTAAAGAAAATGAAAAAAAAATTGAGCATATAAAAGTACATATTTTGACTCCACATTTCAAAAAGTATATAGCAAAAGATTTTTAGAACAAAACAAAAAAAATGGAATTATTGGTTTTACTATTTTAAAAAAGAATATATTAATCACCTTAAATTCAAAATATAGTATATTTTAATGCTAAGAAAACATGTACTAAAAGATGCAAAAATGAATACATAAATTACACCTCATGTTTTAGATTATAAAATTTAGACCATTAAAGAAAACTGCTTGAAAACCAACCAGCATGACTTTAATGTGTGAGCACCATCTTGTGGTATAGTCCTTTAGGTACAGCTGTTGATTTTCCTCCAGAAACTAAATCCTTGAAAATTTACTCTCCATTAATGAAATTAAGTATACACATTTCCCTATTCTGCCTCTGTCTTGGAATAAAGTAAGGTAACAATGGGGAAGGGCAGGGTGTTTTATATATTTATAAATAGCATCTAAATATTATATTAATAACCATTTATAATATTAATAATGTAATAATCAGAGCACTCAAGAGATCAAAGTCTAATAACCTATAACTCTCCCACCTCTCCTCATACTCCCTCCCATCCCTCTCAAGAGTTTGTCTAGCATCTCAAATTTAAACTGAATGGTTTGAAATTGTCAGTGTTAATATATTATGTACCTAACTGCTAACCATGGACAACCAATAGTACTGTTGGAAATTGTTCTACTTAGACCATCCTCAATTGATCCTGACAGTTCTCCCTTCAATCAGGTTTCATTTAATTCTTGATTTTGGTTCTCATATCTTGAACTTTGAGTTTAATCTGTTCACTCTGGCATCCACTCTCAGGAAACTGGCTAGGACTTGAAATACTGGCACATTCTACTTTGGGTTGCCTCCAAAAGTACATCCTATTCTAGCTGACTTCTTAGGCCTGAGATCCAGCCAGTTAGCTGGCTCTGTTTTCTTTGTGGAAATCCAGATAGAAATAATTCTGATCATTCTGTTGTGGAATTTCGGAGAAATTCACTCCAGCTAATAGAAGGCACATATGTGGAAGTTAATGACAAAAGTGATACAGTGAAACTCAAATTAGAAATTAAAAGCATTCCACCTAAATACTACTGCTAAGGCCAAAGCCATGACTAAGTTCTCAAAGGAGGGTTGTGGGGCTAAATTCGCACGGGATGCTGGGCCTGCTTTTACACTGCTGGCTATAGTAACTGTCAAAACACAAAATTGAATCTTTCAGTGTTATTGATCGTGGAGACAATTTTGGTACTTTTCATTTCTGAAAAATCAAAGAATGAGCATATAATAATGACCTAGGACAAGGAAAGATATGGGTATGCCAGGTGAAGTAGAGTTTCTTCTTAGATGGAACTGCTGTGCTGATCAAAAACCCAACTGATAGTTTTTCCTTGGTTTTATCCCTAATGCTACTCTAGAAAGACAGAGAATAACAGGCATCTACTGATTCCAGAACCAAGTAATGAGAAGGCTGACACCACACACTTACAACTTTTGCGTCGATCCTTGCCTTAATTATCTCAACAGGCTGGCCTGTGTCAAAACTTGATTCCCCTCTAGTTCTATCTCCATTCTACTTCTTTCTATCTCCATTTCTATTAACTAAATATTTAATTAGGTCAAATCTCTACCTTTAAATCAGAACAAAGTTTCCCATTCACTCTTCACATTCAAATTTGCTCATAGAAAACTAAAACTAGAACAAGACATCAACAGTGAGGAAATAATCTTCTCTATATATTGGAAACACATGAGTAAATATTCCACAAAAATCCCCAAAACTGATCACTCCTGGCTTAGTTCAAGGACATTATCTATGATAATTCATTTGGAAAGCAAAGGGAATACAATAAGTCTCAAAATATTCTTGCCCCTACATGATGCCACATTTGAAAATTTATGCACTATTTACATTATGAGATAATCAAGACCTCTGAGTCCTATTCTCTCAAGTGAGACTTGTTCCTATGCAAATGCTGGGAGATTCTAGACGCTTAAGTTAAATTTCAGACAAGGATGGAGTCATTTAGAATTCTTGCTTCAGTACATTTGGTGAGGTCCAGAGATTTCTGAAAAAATTCATGCTTCTAGGGTACATCATTTACTCTCTACAGATGAAGAGATTAAATATTTACATATTCTTGGAACTGAATTAGGTGCTACCAAACAGAACTGTCCTTTGCTTTTCACTGTAGACAATGAGTCATGCTGTCTGAAATTATTCCCTAATGAATGGCAATTCATAACTATATAATTAGCCAGGTGTTTTTTTGAAGGATCAACATGTTCTCAGCAGTACCTTTATCTGTCATTAAAATTTGCTAATAGGTAATACTGCAGCTAGCATGTAAAAAAAGTTCTTAAGTTACTAAGTAGACTGGATAGAATGTCTTTCAGAGTTCTGCATGATAAATATCTTAGAACTTTAGAATGAAAAGACACATTTGAAAAGTTCTCTAGCCTGGTAGTCATTTGAACACTGTTAGTTGTATTATCATCATATGTTATGACTTAAATTAAGATAAAACAAATTATGTTATGACTTAAATTAATATAAAACAAATTATGTTCACCACCTAATCTTATAGTTAATTAATCATATACTCAAGGACTTAGGAACAGGATATTCTTTTTGATTTGTGGAAGAAAAACAAGTTACCTTTCCCTCTCTCCTATTCCTTTCCCAAATATTTGGTGTCCTTAGCATCAACAGCATGTTCCACACAGGAAATGACTAAGAGTTCTAGTTAAAAAAAAAGGGGCATTTCATTTTCATTTGGCCAACCAGTAGGTGAAGGAAATAGGAAAAATAAAAAGGGCCATATACTTTAAACCTTGGGCAGCAAAAAGAGTGTGGGTTGGGGAATTAGATATCTATATAATTTGGGGCAAGTTATTTAACCTTTTTCTGCCTCAAGTTCCCTATCTGCAAAATGAAGATGATAATATTAATAATGTACAGTTGCGAAGGCAAAAAAATGAGACAATTTATTTAGCACAGTGTCTGGCATATAGGTAGCCATTTTTTTTTAATTTAACACACATTTTACTACTGTATTGTCTATTCCAGAGAAAATTATGAGCTGTGATATCACCTAAGAAGAGTACAGATTTTTTTAAAAAATGAAAATCCTATAATTACTGCTACTTTAGAATAGTAGCTCTTTATTCTAAAAAGGAAGTGAATTTTGTGACATGTACCCAAAAGTTCAGAAAGGCCCAAAATGTTCAAAATTCAAGGATATTAAAGATAAGTGAAACTCAATAGTTATATGGTCATAAAATAACATTTAATCAATTATATGGAGATGTAATCATCTTCCACTTCAGCTGAATTACAATTGTAGTGTGTTCAGCTATAGAATAGGAGATATAGAAATGTATTGATGTATTAGCCATTCATCTTCTCTGCATATATTCCTAGCTGGAAATACGAAAATTCTATTCAAAGATACTTATTTTAGAGAAACGGGAAGATTAGAGCATAGCTCAGAATATCTCAGAACATATACACTTACTGGAAAATAATATTACTAGAAAATAATAATGAATCTGTAGAAGCAGAAGCCTACTGCCACCTACTGAAAATTTAGTGAACTATCTTTTGGGGAAGGTAACAAATGACACTTGTTTTGAAAAGCAGGGATTAAAACTATTTCTTGCCTTTTTGCTATGAAAGTGCAATAAATAAATACAGTCACACATTGCTTAACAATGGGGACACATTCTGAGAAATATGCCCTTAAGCACTTTCATGGATGTGTGACAATCACAGAGTGTACTTAAACAAATCCAGATGGGATGGGTCGGTGGCATGACACAGCCTCTTGATGCAATCAAATAGGAGGTGCAGGAGGCTGCTGCTAGCATAACATGACTTAGGCCTAATTGTGTAAAAATATTTTAATAGACATTTTTGATGTGAAAAGTTGTGGGAGTTGAATTTCAGAGGAATAATAATACTGATTCTACTTTGGGTACATAGGAGAAAGCTGCAGAGTGATACCAAGTGGTATAACTTCCTTCATATTGCCAGGAGTTTTGAGTATTCCAGAGTCACACCTATAGAATTACATTTGAGCACAACCTTACAAGGCAATGGGTAAATATGTGCTTGTGAAACAAAAAGAAATAAATCAATAAATTGGTACTTCTCAGGAGATTATTTGTATTTTGAATAAGAAAATTAGTTGCAATACAAAGCTATGTCTGATTTACAGAACATTTAACAACACTGCTCTCCAAGGTATAGCACGTTACACTTTCAGTCAACATGCATCTGCCCATCCTTGACCTTTCTAAATGCCCTAGGGGAGAGTGCAGTCATCAAGGAACCACAGAAAAGCAAATCAGTGATTCAAAAATGAAAGGGAATATAAAATATAACAGCCTTGTTCCTAAGAAAATCACAATTTATCTAAATCAAGTCATGCCATTTTTTAAATTGTAATTTTGATTTGCATGTATGCCTCATTTGTATAGATCTGAACAACTGTTTTAGGCTAGCATTTCAATAAGATAAGATGTAATATTTTTCTCAGTATGGAAAAAATATAACTTGAAGATTACATAGGTAGCAAATAGTTCCCAGAAAGATATATAGAAGATCCACATCAGGAACAGAAGCAAGACCAAGAAATTGATTTATTTAAAAGAAAAAGCCCCCTATATGGAAACAAAACAGCAAAGCATTACATAGGGGCAAAAATAACAGCTAACTTCATTGAGGGCTAGTTTTTCCAGGCAATATTCTACACACTATATGTGTATTATATCCCACTGAATCCTCTACAGTAATCTTATGAGGTAGCTACTGACTTTATTCATAAATAAGAAGATATTTCTATTTGTGAGTAAATATTATAAATCTAACAAATCTTAAGATTTTGAAATTGTAAAACCTTACAATTTTATATACCAAATATATTTTACATGTCTCACAAACAGGAAAATATTTGAGAAAGAAGACATAACTCACATTGACTATAAAGATATCAGGAGCTATGCAGGACTTAAACCACACTGAGCATTATCTTTGTAATGAAACACCATCCCCATGCTTCATCTCTACCTCTCCACAAAGTCTTCCTGCCAAAATCATTTTACTTAAAAAATTTAAAGGTAGAATCCCAACTCGAGTTTTCTTGCTAGTGGGATGCTGATGACCACATTGCTTTACACTGTTCCTTCATTTAGGAAGAAACTAAAGGGTTCAAAATTTGGAATGCTCAGATGAGTAAAATGATATCATCTAATGCTAAATCATAACAAGAACAATAAGCTTACCTGTATGTGTGCAACCGTTTTCCCAAAAGCTTTTCGTTGTTTAACATAGTTCCTGGTTTCTTCAAACATAAATTCACAGGCTGAAATTGCCAAGTCAGCAATTAACAGCCTTTCCTATAACCCCAAAATTAAGTCTTAAACATTACTGTAATTACACAAATGACTTTCAGACAATTTCAATTCTAATAAATCCTATAAACAATCTGCTAAAGATTAACTTATTTCTTAACTCTTTATAAGAAAAGGCTCCCACAGAGATTTGAGATTATTTTGATGTATCTTAAAAATAATTTTCCAAAGCTCTAGAGCAAATCCTTTCTTTTATGAATGACTGGCTTTATTTTATATACACACACATATATATATATACATATTTATATACTTATACACATACATATAAACATACATATATATATATATATATATGTACACATATATACATACACGTGTATGTAATTTATTTAAGTTTTCTCTTTACTCACATGAGTAAAGGAATTCCATAGTTGACTTTTATTTTTTGATCCCTGGGCACTGTATAACTTAATTTATCCATGGAAATCAACATTTTAAAGTGCATAGCATAAATTCTATCTATTAGTACAAGCAACTTTAACCAGCTTAATTCATCATGCTAATGATTTTCATATTCTATTTAAGTGCTAGTATCCCTACCTCTTTTTCCCTAATTACAAATTTAGCCCATGCCATGCAGTCAACAGGCAAAGGTATCCCCTTAAGCTGACATGTGAGACTCAATGATCACTAGGCAGCCACATTCCCAAAACACAGATATGGATACTTACTCTATGTGACAAAACTCTTCTGTCTGAACTTAACACATTTTCCCTTTGATTCCAGTTATTTAAAAACTGCCAAATGTATTCAGTGACATTTCCTTACAAAGAACTAAGTTCTTTTTTTTTTTTCCTCAAAGAGATAACTTGTAGTTAAGGAGTGGAAATCATTTCAAGAAGGCATCACAGAACTAAATACCTAATTTCCCTATTCACTTTATAAGCTTCAGTTAGATATTTTTGAGTTCAGTTATTTATTTATCTCGATTACATGTAACATTCATGCTCTCTTTTATAACTTTATATGCAAATGACTGTTTTTCCACAAGTTCTACACACATTAATTTAGATAGTTCTATATTATTCTACTCCAGTCCAATATCTAATCAATAGATGGACTCTTCAAACATTTCTGACCTGTGGAAGCTCTTGCATGAGATAGTAGAAGCCTTTATTCTCTTCTCCAAGTAAGGCACTAGATGGCAATCGGACATCTTCAAAAAACAGTTCTGCAGTATCCTAAAAGACCATACAATTGACTGGTGAATGAGGTCATTTATGTTTCATTATAACCCAGTGAAGAGACTTATTATTTCCATTCAAGGAAAACAAAACAAAAAAAGAACCAAATTAGAAGCCATGTAGGAGTGGTTAGTGAACATAAGTAGTAAGGGGTAAAACAAGGATTTCAAATCCAGGTCCTTCTAATTCTAAAACTATGGTTTTCCCACTGCAATGCCCTGTCATTCAAGCTCTAATACTGTCCAGCTTTCTAGGAACTGCGAAGTGGAAATTTCTAATACTTATTAAGCAAAACATTTTCTTTGGTAGTGTATAGAAAAATATTTTCTGTTCTTCATAATTTTCTTCAGTAATTTTCATATAGATGGTTTATTAAAGCATGCAGTTAATTTTTCCATTTCCTTTTTTTTTTAAAATAAATCTGGGGACTGAATCCAGGGTTTTGTGCATGCCCACTGAGCTATACTCCCAGTCCTTTTTTTCTTCGTTTTTTAAATTTTGAGACAGGGTATTATCAAGTTGCCCAGGTTGGCCTCAAACTCGTAATCCTGCCTCAGCCTTCTGAGCAACTAGGATTACAGGCATGTGCCACCATGTTCAGCTCTAATTTTGCCATTTCTAAATCAGATTTTCAAAATATCCTAATTCATTCCCACTGCTGAATACTAGAAAGAGATATAGTGGCATTACTGAAAATGAATCTCCACTACCATTTTTGAAAAACATTTTAGAAATTCAGATAGGCAGTTGTGATTGTACCACATGTAATTCTCTATATATCTTATTTTCAATGATAATAACCTCAGTTATTATCTGAATAAAATTTATACCATGACTTACCTGGGCTTTTAATCCCATTTTATGTAGCTTCTGTCCTTTAATAAATCCTTTCATTCCATTTTCTACCAGAAAAAGGCTAATGCCATGGGCGGGAGAGCGAGCTTCACGATTTGTGATTGCGACTACAATCACAACATCACTTAGCCAGCCGTTAGTGATGAATACCTGTAAAAACCCAAGTACACTACAACACTCTGCAATATTGAGGTCCATGTTCCAGTTATGATTGAGGGAGAGCACATTCAAGAAGACTAGAACAAGCAGAACATACTTCATACCTCTCTCTACATATCAATACATTCAGGGTTGATTATTCATACCTGAGGTTGTTAAAGAGCAGAGGAAAAATCATGCAATGCCTCAAAGAATGAAGCATATGCATTTTCTTTTTTTTAATATTTATTTTTTAGTTTGAAGTGGACACAATATCTTTATTTTATATTTATGTGGTGCTGAGGATCAAACCCAGTGCTTCAGGCATGCTAGGGGAGTACTCCATCACGGAGCCCCTGCATTTTCTTCATATTATAAATATTAACAACAATTTGAAGAGATTGTGTTTTTAATAATAAACCAAATTGTCTATTAAAATGATACACTGAATTTCAGAGGGAAGCCACCCATTAGAAAAGGAAATCTGCTCTAACTGGCATTACACTATTAAATATCTATACTCCCAGATTTATCACTTCTTGAAAAAGCCTAATTTTTATGTTTTTTAATAGATAGACTACTTTTTAAAAAATAGCCTAAAGAAGGAAGAGATAATAATTAAGGAAAAAAAATAACTAAATATTCAAAGATATTGATTCAGAAAACAAAATATAACCAGGGAAAATATTAATAATTATCTCCTCATTCTACATCTTTCCTGGATCATCTCAACCACTTTCTTCACTTTAGTCATTCACTACATGCTAATGAAGCCAAATCTTTATTTAAAACATATTTATTGATAGGATCTAGACCTTTATACCTATCTGCTTTTGGACAGTTCCACCTGGAGACTCCTGGGTAGAACACATGCCTTCCTATTCCAAATTCCTATCCAATCTTGAATGCCAACCTGTTTCCCTATCTCAATGAATGTTTCAATAAATCATGCTATCATCTTGCTTCACATTTAACTTGACACCCGGTTCTTTTTTCTTTTTCTTTATTTTAAGTTGTAGATGGGCACAATATCTTTATTTCATTTGCTTTCAAGTGGTGTTAAGGATTGAACCCAGTGCCTCACACCAGCTGGGCAAATGCTTTACCACTAAGCTACAACCTCAGCCCCTCAGAATCCAATTCTTTCTAATCCGTTTTAAAACTTTAAAAATCTATTCCCCTCCTTTCACTTCTATTATCATTACCTTCTTTCTGGTTCTTATCATTTCTTGCACAAGTTGCTACAATCGAACCCTCTGTAGTTCTATAATCCATCATAAAACCAAAGGGATCTTTCTAAAGGGCAACCTAATCCTATCACCTTCACACTTAAGAACTTTTGTATAGCTCCTAAGATGCTACAGAATAAATTCAGCTAGGATGAATTCTACTCATCTTGGACTGAGTTCAGGCATCATATCTTTCAAAAAGTCTTCTAAATTCCCCAGCTTAGCTAAGTGCTCCAGTAGCACCATCAATTTACCCAGCATCTTAGTGTTTATCAGACTTACTCAAATGATCTGCTTTTATTTCTCTCTTCAAAGTATTAGGGGCATAGAATGGTGATGTTTATTCTTATCAATTAATGTCCATGGCTTTATAAGATCTGTGCTCTAAAATGCATAGTGCTGATGTATTCAAATAATGGGAAATGAGAAAATTATATTGTTGTAAACGAAGGCAGTCGTGGTGTGATTGTTGTGACACAAAAATAAAAGACACTCATCCCTCCCTACTAGGATGCCTGGCCATTTCTTATTAATATGTCTATCCTCAGCTAGTAGTTTTTGGCATATAAGAGGCCTTCAGAGATGTTCTTTGAATATATTTTGAAACATACATTCTCCAAAAGGATTCTATAAATGATGGGAAAACTGTTGTTTTCAACAATGTAGCTCCATCACTTCCTTATTACTATCCAAGTTCTCCAAATTTTCCTATCTTTCTACAATAATAGTAACCATTTGATGTAGTTGACATAGTTGAGTAATTTTTTGTTTCAAATCCAGGAGTTGAAAACTAAATATTCTAAAAATAAACAATGGAATAGAAAAAAAGGAACAGTTCATAGGGCAGAAACTATTCACTTGTATACTCTGATCTCAGATTGGTAAAATCAAGTAAAGTTTCCAAAAGTTATTTTTGGAAGTAATTTCAGAAGAGGATGAATAGATTCTGAACCATTTGTACAGTCACCTAACCTCATATGAGTATTTGCATCATGACTCATTCCCTTCCTAAGAAAGTTGTAAGATAATTCTTGTTGGTGGCCTTTTTTATTTATTTCCTAATTATGAAAATCAAAAATTCAAAAAGGACTGGCATTATTTGTAATGAGAGATGTAATTTTTTAATCAAATGCTAATAGTATAATATAGCTCATTGTAGATGCTATATAGATAGGATGTAGTTATAAAGAAAGAAAAAATCTTCAGAGTCCATAATATAAGTACCATTAGGAATTTCCTTTCTCATCTCTTTTCTTATTATTAAAATTATTCTATATCTGCATTCTGTTTATTCACTTAATGTTAACATAACAATAATATATACTTAAAAAACAGTGTTGTCATTTTAGTGACTGCATATTAGTTCTAATGTACTGTATGTGCTTACTCATTTCTTCACTTTTACTTGTTTTGTACCTTTTTACTATTCCTAATGCAGTTTTTGAAACAGTCAGTGGTATCTTTCCTAAGTAGTTCCCACAGAAGACTGTAACTAAGCAGACTGGGCCTGCTTAGAAATCCAGTCATAACAAAATATGGTTCCCATTCTACTTTTGACTAAATACCCCACTTTTCTTTCAAAACAGCTTTCTGTATGCAGGGTATTAACTGATTATATATTGAAATTATCACCTGTTTCTTATCCTTAGGATGAATAATTTAGACTAAATCTCTTAAAGTATATTTGAATAAATCAGTGATTCTTAACATTCTATAAAAAGAAAATTTCCTAGGATACAAAACATACTGTATCCAATTTTTAGAGATTCATAATGTACATCAGCATATCAAAGAGAAGTTATGCACACTTTCCAAATTTATTTAATAGCACAGATATTATTTTTCTGCATAGTAATTATAAAACTTGATTATGGAATGTTACTTAGAACTCGGTTGCTCAAAATTTGGTCTGCAGTCTGATGTTGGTTCACAATTGTTACCAGTCTCTGATAATATAAGTACAGAAATTGAGATCATTTAGAAACTTTTAGGAATTTGACAGTGCTATGATTATATTTGACTTTGTAAATATAAAGGTATCAGCCTGGGCTGGAGATATATAGCTCATTGGAGTTCAGTGGCAGAATGCCTGCCCTGCAAGTGTGAAGTCAGAGGTTTGATTCCCAGTACTACAAAAAAAAAAAAAAAAAAAAAAGGAAAAATGTATTAGACTAAAACTAACTGGAAATAAAAAAAAAAATTAGTGAAGAAAATAGGGCTGGGGACATAACTCAGTATCAGAGGACATACTTAGCATGTATGAAGCCCTGAAACCCCCAGCACCAGTTGTAAAAATAACACAGAAAAACTCACCTTCAACAGACCCTGGAACATATTTTCAACAAGACTTCTTAAAACAGTGTAGAAAATGAATATTTTTTCTTCACTTAATACTCAGTCAACAAAAAATATATACTAAGTATATACCAGACATAATTCTAGGTATCATTTTCCCTGAACGATATTAGGTTCTAAGAGATATGTTTGCTCTTGAACCATCTGTGATCCGGTTTAGAGGAGCTCTCTAAATCTGTACATAGGATTGAAAAGGATTCTATGATCTGGTATCTTTCAAACTCTTTTTGATATTTATCAGAAAGCTTTTTCCCCAGTCTTTCATAAAGTTCAGCTATTGTCTGTCCCATGTTGGGGTAATATAAACCTAACTTTCCCACTTTTCTCTTTTTTGAGAAGAGCTGTTTGGAAGCTAAAACCACCTTTGAGGTATTTTTAAGAACATATGCAGCATAGAACACAGATGGGTTACCATAGATCTTGTGTCATGTAAATAACTTGTAAATTTCTCTCCACCTCACAAATACTTAAGTAAACAATTCCTAAGTGAATCCTTACATAATAACATCATTACCCATGGCATGACTCTGGAAAGAAGGGTCAGAGAAGTCCCTCTTTACACACCTTGCTTCCATTGAGAATCCAATCACTTCCATCCTTTTTGGCATTTGTTCTTACTCCTTGTAAGTCACTGTAATTGAAAGAAAAGATAAAAAAATTCATCAGTTGGTAAAAAAGAAATTAGACAAATGCTATTATATAAGTATATATACAATGTGATCATTCAAACTGGATATGCCATTATAAAAATCTTAATGTAAGAAATGTTCACACAATTGAACTAAAAAAATCATGTCTAATATATTATATTCTAGTCATTCTATGAATGAATGTATGATTAAGATTAAATAACCTTGGGCTGGAGATGTGGCTCAGTAGTAGAGCACTTGCCTAGCATATCAACCCCTGGGTTTGATTCCCAGCACAGCAAAAAAACAAAAATTAAATAAATTAGCCAGACTTCATAGAATACATAAAAGCCCAACAATGCTCAAAACCACAAATTGGCTCACTCTTGAAATTCTGTTATCACAATATATTTTACCTACCTTTACATACTTTGGTTCCTTCCTCTACTTCTTCTCATCAAGAATTTAGCTATTAAAAATACTATTTCTCACCAGATGTGCTGGCACACTCCTGTAATCCTAGCTATTTGGAACCCTGAGGCAGAAGGATCACAATATAGCGAGATTCTGTTTTAAAATTAAAAAATAGCTGAGGTTGTACTTCAGTGGTAAAGTGCTGACCTAGCATATATAAGACCCGGTATTCAATACCCAAAAACAAATACTGCCAAAAAAAAAAAAAAAAGACTACATCTAAAATGCTGTTTTTTGTAACAAACTTGCTCTAAAAGTAGAATTTTTTAAAAATCTAAACAGTATTTTAATTAAAATATAAAGAAATATAGAAAGTATTCCAAAGAAAATTTATTTAACAAATGAATTTATCTCCTGAACATTTTAAAAATACATCCTTGCAATTATTTTTCCATAGATTTAGATACACCTATAAATGTACATATGTAAAACTGGAACCATACATAATAATATCCAATGTTTTTTTATCTACATAGAATATCATCATGTGAATTTACCATGATTTTTAACTAACAATCCTCTATTGTTAGAAATTTAGGTTTCAAAAACCTACAGTGATTAGCATTATAAATAAATAGTCCACATATATTGTGAAATTTTTCTGATTCTTCTTCTATGTGGTCTTTATATTTTTATACTCCAGGACACATTTTCTTTTTTATAACTCTTTATTTGGATGAATAATGACCCCTAAAATATCAGGTTGTAATCCCTAAAATCTATAAATGTGGCTTTATATGGAAAAGTATAACTTAAGGATGTTGAGATGGGAAGATTATAGTGAATTATCTGGATGACCTGTAAATGTAATCACAAATGTCCTTAGGAGAGAAAGACTAAGAGAGGAAGATTCCATAAACAGAAAAGGAGAAAGCAATGTGGTCACAAAGGCAATAAGCCAAGGAACACCAGGAGCCACCAGGAGATAGAAACACAAGGAGTAAATTCTTCTCTCTGCCCTCTGGAAGATGCTTGGCTCTCCTGATAACTAATTTGGGGCCCAATGATACTGATTTTGGATTTTGGGCCTTCCAAATTGTTTAAAGAATCCATTTCTGTTGTTTAAGTCATAAACTTTGGTGGTAGTTTGCTACAGAAGCCACAGGAAACTAAGGTATTCTCTTTGAGTATTTACCTTAAATTTTAGTTATTAAAGTAAAGACTTTTCTGCTGGGCTACTGTAATACCAGCTACTCAGGAGGCAGAGGCAGGAGGATTGCAAGTTTGAGGCCAGCATGGGCAATTTTTTTAGCAACATCATGTCTCAAAATAAAAAATAAAAAGGGCTGGGGTTGTAGCTCAGTAGCAAGAAAAAAGTACATGTTCAGTACAGACACAATTTTTTTCTTTTTTTGAGTATTTCTGATTTGAGGTCATTTGAATTCATGGTTGCAGAACTGACAAATATGGAGAGCCAAACATACTAAGAAAATGTTTGTTATTAGGGCACTGCTTCCAAGAATTTAAAACCAAAAGAAGGTTGACTTACCTTCCAGCACCAGGCTCTGTCATTGCTATGGCACCAATACATTTGCCTGCCGTCATCTGGGGGATGAAGTGCTCAATCTGTTCTTTTGAGCCATAGTTGGCAATATAAGGCATGACGATATCTGAATGAAGACTAAAACCTGGCCCTGTACAATTTGAATATGCTCTTAAAAAGAAAAAAAAGTATTAAAAACATAAGATAGTTATTTTGTTCTACTCTTAGTGTCTTTAATTTTCAATTAAAAATGACTATTGGAACAATAAAGTATTAAAGATCTTGATTGTGTGGTAGGTTGTGTGCAAACAGCCTGTTTCCTCATAAACCTATGACCTTCCTGAATGTTGTTTTTACTCTTCTTTTTATTGTTGGTTCTAAAATAGTAACACTGTTCTAACAGCTCAATAAATAATTATTTAAAGAATTAAGAAATAAATTACTGATCATCTACAATTGTATAACCCTAACACATCAACTATTTTTATTACGGAAAATTATCTTTGGATATATCCTAATGTAGATGTAGTCCCTATGAATTTTTTACTTTGCTGTTTTCTTCTTAAAGTATATGACATAACAAAAATCCTCTTTTTAACTTAGTTTTTTTTATTATAATCTTAAAAAGCTGCGAAATATTCCAAATTATTTATGTCCCATGATTTTCTTATTCATTATCTCACTGTTACAGATTTAAATTGCTTCAAAATTTTGGCGATTATGATCTAACATGATAATGATTTCTGAACATAGCTTCTATTTTTTCCTATTAAATTATTTTTCAGATAAATTCCCCCAAATGCCATTCTAAATCAGAGTGAACAAATTTTTACTTTTTATACATATATTTACCATTTTAATCCCCTTATAATGTCACCAGTAGTATATGAATATGCCACTTTTACCACTGTCAACACTATGTGATAAGAATTCTCATTTTCATAAATTTTTTTAATATATATAATGGTACCTCCAGGTTAACTTAATTTACTTTTGGTTGGTAGTAAGGATGAACTTTTTCTACTTAAAAAAGCCTAATTGGGGCTGGGGTTGTAGCTCAGTGGCAGAGCACTTGCTTTGCATGTGTGAGGCACTGGGTTCAGTCTTTAGCACCACATAAAAATAAACAAGTCCATCTACAACTACAAAAACAAACAAAAAACAAAAAACAAAACAAAAAAAAACCGAACTCATTTTTTTATAAAGATGTTCCTTCAAATCTTTTGTCCATTTTAACTGAAACCTTTGTTCTTATATATTAGACTTCTAGTGTATTTGATAATAATTTTCCATTCTGCTGTTCTCTTTAAAATATCTTTTTAAAAGGAAAAAATAACCATATGAGCCAACCAGAAATTAACTCTTTAACTTTCAACAGTACCTATTTCAACAACATAAAAGAGGATTTTCTGATTTCCCACATTTAAGAAATGCACAGGAGCCAGGTACAGTAGCACATGCCTATAATTCCAGCAGTTTGGGAGGCTGAGGCAGGAGGATGAGTTCAAAGCCAGCCTCAGCAACTTAGTGAGGCACTTAGCCACTCAGTGAGACCCTGTCTCTAAATAAAATATAAAATAGGGCTGGGAATGTGGCTTAGCAGTTGAGTGCCCCTGAGTTCAATCCCTGCTACCAGCTCCATCCACCCATCCCCAAAAAAGAAATGCACAATAGTATAAGTGCCATAATCTTTCACATTTTACACTGAATTTTCAATCTTCCCAGAAGATCAGAAAGCATTTTTTATTATCATTTGAAAAAAATGAACATTCAAAACATGACTCAACTTCAAATGTCTCCATACTTACTGCTCTTCCCAAACAATAGCTGTGGAGTACAAGTCACCACCAATACCACCATGCTGCTCTGCAATATTGACTCCAAGCAGCCCTTGTTTTCCAGCCTTTTCCCAGAGTTCCCTAGGCACTTCTCCAGCTTTCTCCCATCTGCAATTAAATATTTAAAAATCAGATAGATTTCTTTCAAATTATTTAAATGGCCACACTTTGAATAATTTTGTGCAGGAATGCATCCTTGGTTTAAGGTTAACTATGCACACTGGTCATACCCTTCTATTTGTAACTGGACTCTACTTAATCATTTCTCCTTCTTTTTCTTTTCCTTTCTTCTTCATATTTGGCACTTTCTGCCTTCTTTCTTCACTATTTATTCGACCTATAAAATACACCCACTGAAATTCATGAGTACAGTTTTGCTGGTTGGTGCTGGCAGCATGCAAGCTTAGTTATGCCATATAGTCATGGGAATCTGCCTAACCTGTCTTGTAAAGACAATTCTCTGCATCTTTCCTGAATTTATAGCATATGAAAGCTGACATGAGGAAACCACCTCATTACATTTAAATTGGAATGACAGGAAAGCAGAAGCACCTTACAGCATAGATCTATCTGTCAAATGAATTTCTGAGAAGACTGTGCCATCTCCTCCCTTACCCCCACCCAACTGGGGGGCCTCAAGCTTGCTAAAGGCCCATCCCTAGCTTTTCTTCTTTAAAAATGGAAATAGCATAGTAAGGAAACCATGGATAGTCAGAAATAGTGAAAAAAATGTGAAAATATTTTTGTTTTTTTTTAAGTGGTAGATTCAGTTAGTAAGATATGGGTTATTTGAGTACTCCACTCAAAATCTGCCAACTCTATTATCTTTATTTCAAGGCATTCTCAACAATAGTTGTGAAACAAAATTGAAAAGCAGCAAAGAAGCCAGGCACAGTGGTGCATACCTGTAATTCTCAAGAGGCTGAGGCAGTAGGATCATAAATTTAATGTCACCCTCAGCAACGACTTAGCAAGATCTTGTTTGGAAATTAAAAATAGTACTGAGGCTCAGTGGTAAAGTGCCATTGGGTTCAATCCCTGGTACAAAAAAAAAAAAAAAAAAAGAAAGAAAGAAAGAAAAAGAAAAAAGAAGACTCTCCTAGAATTAAGTATGTTTTATTTCTTTTATCTTCAAAAAGCTGATTGCTTTTCACCAGACCAGTCACAGCTTCTGAGTTTAGCTAATTTTGGTCATTATAACCAAGAAAGTATTAATATAAAACCTGGGTATGGTGGCACATGTCTGTAATTCCAGTGACTGGAGAGAGTAGGGCAGGAGAATTGCAAGGTCAAAGCCAGCCTGAGCAACTCAGCAAGATCCTATCTCAAAAAAAGTTTCAAAGAGGGCTGGAAATGTAGCTCAGAGGTAGTGGCTGATCAGCTACGAAGATTTGTACTCCACTGGCCTTTTGAGCTTTCCTTTAATTCATTCATAAAACAGAAAAAGAAAGAATATGAAATGGACTAGCAGTTTGCTGCTATTTAACCATAGTTTTCAAAAAATACTTTTCTTGAGTAAATTTCAAATTTTTTAATATTCTCACTATTGAACTGTACGTTATACATTTAAAAATTCATTTAAGACTGGGGATATAGCTCCCATGGTAGAACTCTTGTCTAGAATATATGAGGCCCTCATATAGAATATATGAGGCCCCAGTACAACAGGAAAAAAAATGTAGCTCATTGGCAGAGCACTTACCCAGCATGGGCAAGGCTCTGGGCTCTATCTTAAGCACTGTGGGGAAGAAAAATAAATAAATTAAGATAACCAGGTATGATGGCACATTCATGTAGTCCCAGATTCTCAGGAGGGTGAGAAGTGAGGATCACTTGATTCCATGATTCAGGAGACTAGCCTAGGCAACACAGTGAGACCTATCTTAAAAACAAAACAAAACAAAACAAAAAAAGCGCAAATCATTTAAAAAGTTATAAACTTAAGAATCCTAGGATATTACAGGATTATGGTGAAGAACAATAAAAATGTTAGTAAAGCACTGACATTATTTTTTCTGCACAATATACAACATTCTAGGAAATAGTTATTTTCATATTTGGCGCTTTTATATAACATTGAAACATGAAGGTAGGTGAGCTTACTCTGAATGATGAGGAACCACTTCTTCTTGAAAAAACTTCCTTACACTTTCCCGGAAAATGTCGTGCTCTGAAGAAAAGATTCTTCTAATTCCTACATCTGTTAATTTTTTAGCAGAAGGAGATTCCAAACGTTTCTCCCCTCCAGAATGAGAACATCTTTAAAAAAATGCATTAAGAAAAAGTAAATGAATTGTTACTCTTCATAGCCAAATTAATGCTACTGAACAACATAGCTTTCCTAGAGACACTTTAAAGCATCACCACTTTTCATAGGATGTCCCCTACCTCACTGGAATTAAGAAGCAATTTATCATTAGTCAACTCAGTCTCCACTTCCAAATTTCTAAAGAGGATAACACCTGGTACTCACTGCAGGTAAAATATAGTGTTATCACAAGATACATAGATTAAATAATGTAAAATGCAAACAGTACAATAAAATAATACCGTTTTCACACCATATGCAATGTTTAAAATAATGCAAACCCTCCAAAATTAGTATTTTATCCAGAATCCCATCATTTTAAATGGCTGGTACATAAGATATAAACTGTGTTGATGTTATTACCACAATGCAGAAACAAACCAAATGTATATTAAATGCCCACCAGTCTCTGCAAGGATTTGTATGGGATTATTCAAGAACTTCAGGAACTAATCCTTCCCCTCTCTTCCAACCCCATCCCACCCAACCCCACCCACCAAACTTAAAATGAGACTGCTCTTTACAGTTCCTTTAGTTCAATCTTCTTTAAGGTTTTTTCCCCTCTGGAAGAAATTTTGAAAATCTGTGAATTCCTTTGAACATTTTCCAGCTCACATATAAAAAACTTGTATCATATACTCAAATATTATCCAAACATGTTTTTGTTTCCTATTAAATTTCCTTAGTGGGACTCTGCTTTTTAAATTTTTTAAAGTATTTGTCTAGAAAAGAACTATTTCTTGTGATAAGTAGACTTAAAGTTTTTTTTAAAAGAGCTTTTAACTAGACATTAAAATATGACTAAGGCCTTCCTAATTATCATCTTTAAGAGTTACAGTAAATCAGCTTAATATACTATTATTAATCAGTCTTGCTTGTTAACATTTAGGTTATTTCAATCTGGATGGTGGTGTAATCTAGGAACAGCAAGAAGGCCAAGTGTGGCTACAGTGGAATGAGTGGAAAATATTTATATAAAGGCAGAGACAAAAGGAAACCAGAACATGAAAGGTCCTTACAGACCACTGTCATGTTGCACTGAGTAAACTAAAATTTACTTTATCCCTCCAGTTGAAATGATTGGTTCCAATTTCTTGCCACTAAAAATAAAACTATAAGTATATATGTGTCCATATAGATTATCCATAGTTGGTATTCTTCTTCTAGGGAAAAAATAAGCCAGCTCATGTCACAAAAGAAGAAATACCTCTAGAAGAGGGTCTGGAGGAGCTCTCGGAGGAGGGAGTGGGGCTGGACCCAAGGCCAGTGTTGAAGGAAAAGAATTTCAGCAAGTGTCAGTAGAGGGATAAAGACTTATTTAGGAAAGGAAAGAAAACACATTCAAGGGAGAATATGTGCTACCTTAAGAGCGAGAGACCTGTTTTCAGGTTCCCAGGTCTTCTTTTAAAGGAAACTTGATGAGGGATGGGTTAGGAAATGTATGTGAGGGTGACATCAGTCTGACAGGCTGATGTGGTCTCCATTATCTGACCCATAGATAATATTGGAAAGTCTCCTAAATGATAGATTTATTAAAATGTCCTATCTGTCTTTATGTAAACTATTTATTGGTAGACTAATGAACAATGCACAAGGTAATTTTCATAAATGGGTGAATTTACAGTAACTTTAGGATTTATGATTTCCCAGAAACTTGAGGGAAAAAGGCCTTGAAGTGAGACTGGCTTGGAGAGTGACAGGCTGGGAAAGGTATGAAGAAACTTAAAATTATTTTCTTAATTTAGTAAATATTATACATTTTCTTTCTACATATTCTTTTTCTTCTTTCCTGCCTTATTAAAACACTGAATCATTTGTAAATAATAGTAAAGACAACTTATTTTCAAGTTCAATTGGATCTTAATTTTTTATATCCTATATTATGTTAAGGAAATCTTTTCCAAGTAAAATACACTAGGACACATGAAAGCAAAAGAAATGCCAAGAAAAAAATAAAGATGTTAAGGTCAGCCCAGGTGGTCAAGAGAGACTACATAGTGGGAAGAAATCAAAACACTTAGCAGCAAGTTTATCCTTTACCAAATAAATTGGCCTTTTCTCCCCTATTGAAAATAGGAGCAAGAGGCTTTACCATTCACAACCCTCCACAAAACTTGGGAGACTGGTTGGTTGGTGAGCAAAACAGGTTATTCAAAGCCGGCTCTCAAGAAGATAGAAGAGATCTTTTTCTTTCTTAAATCTTCATTTTCATTTTTTTTTTTACTATTTTTTTATTAGTTGTTCAAAACATTACATTTTCAGGGACACAAGGGCCTTGAAACTTTTATAAAAGGAAGCACAGTAGACAAAGGGCAAGGAATATACATATGTAGAAAAGCAGCTCTCAGGAGGTTGCTTTCGATTTCAAAGAGGCTCTGTTTTACTAGGGCCATAAACTACTAACCTTCCAGACTGGGCTCTGTAAATTCCGCCTCATTTACATTTTCGAAAGCAAATAATCTCCATCAGCGCACCCCTCAACAACTGAAAGCTGGTTATAAATACACAATCTTAGGCCTAACTTCAGACCTATGGAATCAGAATGAGTATTTTAACAAGATCCCCAAGTGATTTATATGCACATATAAGTTTAAGAAGTCTGTTACACTAAAACTATAGTCTGATGAATGAAAGAGTGTCTCAAGTCTTTCCTTTTCTAATATCCCCTTCGTAAGGATAGACTTTCTTCCCATACTTCAACTAAAATAGCGAACTGATCTTTGGGGTCCTATAATTTTAAGAGCATAAATAAGGCCTGATACCACAACTTTCAGGGTTACTCTAGTATGATATTCTGGGGTTGAACTTAGAAAAGTATGTGTATGCTAAAGTGGCCAATTCGGTGAGGCCTCCTGAACCTCCCCAAGAGTAAGCATTAAGTCTTGCAGCTGAGTGCCTTACTTCAAAACAATGTAGTAATTAGACCATTTACCTGCCCTCTCACCCTAATTAAATAATGAATCCTATGTGCTTCCAGTTTGTTTATCCAATGAATGGTTTTTATGCATCAGACGGTGTCCGAAACGTTTTATCTTATTATAAAATACCACCTTAATAGTCACTGAGCCACTTAGAAGCTCCTTCAATAATCCCTCTGTATTTAATTAGTTGATGGATTGCTAATAAATCTAAAGCTGATTCTTTGTCTGATGGGGAGCTCGCCAGGTCATTTGTATTGGATTATTGGCCCTGGCCACTTTTTTCCGCCGCGTCGCGGCGGGCTGAGCGCTGGTCCCAAGTTAGCTATCAGGTGGCTGTCACACGCTGCAGTCCTAACTAGGCCAAAGGTCGCAGCGCGGTTGCGGGAGCATCCGAACTGCATTTTCCAGCTCCGGGTCCCGCCGAGGCCGTGGCACCAGCCGGGCGAGATACGGCTCCGGAACGCGCATTTGGCGAAATCTTCTCCGGCTCGGCGGAGGGGGCGGCCCCGCTCTGAGAGCCAGGGACCAGGCCCATCCGCTCGTCCCAGGCTCGCGGCGGCCCGGCCCGGGGATGCCATCCCCTCCAAGACCCCGGGAAGGGCGGCGTGGCCCCCGCCCCGCACCCCTGCAGCTCTCACCTTACGGCGGGCGACGGGCGCGGCGCGCAGCAGCGGCCCAGGACGCGCAGGGACCCGAGGAGGAGGCGCGAGGCCATGGCGAGACAGCTAGGGGCGGACGACAGGGGCGACGGACGCGGCTCGGCGGTTCCTCTGCTCCGTCGGCAGGGAGGGCGTGACAGGACTGCGGGTGGGCGGACTCTCCGCGGGACCCGCCAACTGCACGTTTCCAGTGAGCTCCACAACGCCTCACTGGCGCTCCGATTAAGGCTGGGCGCGCGCACTTCCGGAGCCGCCAGCCGCAACGAGCTGCCCTTGGGGTACTGCCCTGTCCCTGGGCTCTCCCGGGCCTCGAGCACCCATTCCCGGCCTTGGGTGGCTGGAGGATCCAGAACCGATGGGCTGGGAGAACCCGATGGAAAAAGGAGTCTCCAAAAGCCCCCAACACAGAACTGCAAAAATGTACATGAAATGTACTTCGTAATAGTGGAAGTTAATTTGCTTCACATAGACAACTATTTAAACACTGTTTTCAAAGAATCGAGCTGTTATTACTTTTTTCTTACAAAAATTAATGGCTAATTCGTGGGGAAAATGAAAATAGATTCAATATGCAAATAAAAATTCAACTTTAATTCGATTCTCCAGTAGGTTTTTTGTTTGCTTTTCTGTTTCTGGATATGAACCCAGGGATGCCCTACCACTGAGCTACATCCCCAGCCCTTTTTGTTTCTAATTTTTAGACAGGATCAATTTCTAATTTTGCCCAGCTGGCCTTGAACTTGATATGCTTCTGCCTACGCATCCTAAGTAGTGGGTTTATAAGCATGGAACACCATGCCTGAGTTTCCAGTAGTTCTTGATTTGAATTCATATTTTGCCATTTCCTTTCTACTCAAGTCATCAATACTGTTAAATAATTCATGTTGCATCTCAGTGATGACAAGTTATTGAGAAGTGTGTGTGTGTGTGTATGTGTGTGTGTGTGTGTAATAGGAAGTATCTGAAGGTTTTTTGTTTTGTTTTTTAGTTGTAGTTGGACACAATACCTTTATTATATTTACTTTTATGTGGTGCTGAGGATTGAACCTAGTGCCTTGCATGTGCTAGGAGAGCGTTGTTTTGCTGAACCACAACCCCAACCCCAAGGTGTCGATAAAGAATGTGCAGAGTGATTTCTAAGGTAGTGAAGCAGAACATTGAGGCCCTTTTTAAGACTGTTACCATGGTCCTGAAATGGTGGAATTGAAAAAAAACATTTTCTGTTAAAAATCAACAACTTGGGAGTGGGGATGTAGCTCAGTGACGAAATGTCTGTCCAGCACATGCAAGGCCCTGGAGCTTCATCCCTAGTAGGGGTGGGTGAAGGTGGGAGGGATAAGTCAACAACTAACTTAATGTTAGATATAAAGAAGGAATTTAAAAACGAAGTTTTAATTCTAAACACGTAAAGTATGAGAACAGTATTAGCTAACAGGGGGAGAACAGGGAATCATCAACCCATCACTCTAGCCAGAATTCTGGGCTTGCTAATCTTGCATCACTACCTCAACCCTGACATTGTGCCGGATATTAACTAGCTTCATAGAACCAAAATCATGGTCCTTCAAGGTGATAGTTAACTGATTGAGTATCCTGCCCATTTGGGGCAAAAAATGATCTGTAAAAAATAAAAGAAAGCTTTTTTTCTCTCTACTTATCCTCAACACACTCTACCATTTCTGGTCAAAAAATTATGTGGGCATGTTTCCTTGCATACTGAGAAATCTCTAGCACACACCAATTTCTTCAATTCAATTCTGTCACTGTCTTCCTGGAGATAATGTCAGATCCTGCAGATTGACTCAATCTCACAAGACTGCCTTCATTTCAGGACCCAACTGGAAGCACTGGGTTGTGTTCTGTGCTTCCGACCACCAGTTAGAAGCAGGGTTCCCATAACACACACACACACACACACACACACACACACACTATAATCTTGTCAAATAGTTCATAGATACAAGGAAATAAGCTTGTGTTTACCACTTTATTATAATAAAAGATATTACTAAGCAATAGCCATTTGGGTAAGATGTACAGAACAAGGGGTGGGTAGGTGTGTCACCAAAGAAGAGATGTCTCCAGAAAAGGGTTCTGAGGAGTTCCTGGAGGGAGGGGTGATTTAACTCAGTACCAGCAGAGTCCTTGACATATGTAACAGAAAAGAATTTTGCATGTGTCAGTAGAGGCACAGACAGATTTATCTGGGAAAGCAGATACACGTTAAAGGGAGAATATGGGCTGAAAGGAAAGTGACCACAACACTCGGAGTGACCAAGAGATCTTTATTGCAGCAGTGCAACAGAGGAGAAAAGAGAAAGAGAAGGAGAGAGAGAGAGAGAGAGAGAGAGAGAGAGAGAGAGCAAGAGAAAGAGGGGCCCAGCAGGAGGGAGTTTTTATAGCCCAAATCTAATTGGGTCTCTGGGCCTGCAAGCTGTCTTGTTGGGACAAGGGGGTTAAGTGCTTGGCCTTGAGTGGCGGGCTGAGTGTTCAGCCTTGAGCAGGGGGGCAAAGCACTCAGCCTTGAGCAGGGGCTTGGGCGTTTGGGCTTGAAGCAAATTGGTGATAAAGAACCAGACAGAGGGTTTGAGTGGCCAGGTCACCTTGCAGTTAACTTTGTTTGGCAAGCCCTGCAGACAGCTTACTCAGCCTGTCCTGCACCTAACATGGGCTATGTTGTGAAAGATGCCTTTTGAGACAAAGCAAAGAATATACATTTGAGGGAAAAATGTGGGTCATCTTGAGAGTGAGAAATGAGTTTTGGGGACCCAGACTCATTTTTTAAAGGAAACTTGGTGAGGGGTAGGTTGGGGAAGGTATGTGAGGGTGACATCAGTCTGGTAGTTCTCAGGATCCTTAGGCTGAGATGGTTTTCATCATCTAATCATAGATAACACTGGTAAGTCCCCTAAATTATAGCTTTCTTAAAATATCTTCCCTCTCTTTGCTTAGTGTATTAATTGGTGGGCTAATTAACTGCACACAAAGTTGATTACTATAACTGAGAAAATTTATGATTAACTTTAAGATTTATAGATTTTCCAGAAACATGGATGTGACAGGCCTCAGAGAAAGACTGACTTGGGGAATGAGAGTCCTGGAAAGTTGTGGAACTTTATATTAAAATTAATTTCCTTGTCCTACCTCTGTGTCTCCTTTCTACCTATTATTTCTTCTATTCTACCTTGGGGTCAGGGGTAGAGAGGAGTCCTGAGGGGGCAAAATTGCGACGTATGCAGTCGGGGGAGAAATAAAGAATGTCCACGTGTTTCTGCCCCTTTCAATTCTTTATTCACTCAAATTACTCAATACAATTTCACTCTATAGGTTCTTAGTCAAGAAAACGACAATCCTTAATGCTAGGCACTGCAATAGATATAATTGACAGCAAACAATTCTAGATTAATTCTAAGCACTGCAAAACACACTTAATCATGATAGGCTAATGACAGACATTTCCTCTGCAGGCTAAGTTCAAAAGTCTTAAGCCATAGGCTTTATGTCCAGCAGATGCACACTCACTCAGACCTTGGTGATCAGGTCTGGAACCAAGGCAGGCTTTTCCTGGCGTAGAGTGGGCGACCTGTTGAGGAGAGGGTGGTAGGGAGAAGTTTCAGCTCTTACCAAGGCTCAAATGAGGCAGTAGAGTTTGAGAGCAGTGAGGATCATGCGGAGGCTCAGGAAAAGATGACAAGTGATAGGAGGTCAGGTCCTCATCAGGCTCTCCAGCTCGAGTGCATCCTTGTTTTGGCTGGCTGAATCCCTGTTCATTTGCTCTATTATTTATACTAAATTTTGGGGGTTTTTTACCCCCCTTTCAATCTTTATCAGCTACCACCGGATTTCTCAGGGACATCATTTACACTGGGGTCAGAAACATCTGGTCTGGTGGTCTCCACCCTGATCTTCTCACCTTTCCCTCTTATCAGGCAAGGACAGCCTACTAGGGGCTTCATTCTATTTATCATGATGAGGGGAAGTAACTTATTTGTGGCCATTATGGAGGGCTCTGTGGATATGCCTGGTGAAACTGCAGGTTTCAAACTAGAGTTTTTAAAATGGAGTTGCTCAGGCTCAGGCCTAAGGCCATCCTAACAAGAGGACACACAGAGCATCCATATCCTCTCTAGCCCACTGGCATCCCAACACTTCCACATGTTTGGCATCTAGGAGGCTTATCAAATTTCATTGTTTTATACATCTTAATCTCCACTGCATTACCATTTCCTGGAGGATGATGGGCAGAGCAGAAAGTGTCAACTCTTTAATCAATCCTTCAATCACTTGTACTTCTTGGTAACCAGTCTCATTCTGGGCTATGTAGAGCCCCACCCTGTCTCCTCATTAGTATAAACCAAGGTATGATAACAGGGGCTCATAGTGAAAAACCTAAAGACACCTTCTATCACTCTGAAAACACTAAGAATTTTAGGTCTTCTCTGACAGAAACCAGGGACAAAAACCAAATATATTTCATGTTATACCATAGGATACTCCTGCTGCATGGTCTTGCTGAGACTCTGGGAAAAATAATACAAACACTTCAGTGTGATCTGAGAATCACTATCGTAACAGTATTTGTTGTTCAGAGTATGTGATGATGAAGTACAGGATTCTGTATTGTTAACAAGCCTCAGAGGTGTTTCTTACACACCAAAGTGTGTGAACCACCAATCTCCCCTAAGTTCACTGGAAGTAATATTTAATGTAAAGTATATGGCACAGTGCTCAGTACATAACATAATGTTAGCTGTTTGTATTCTCCTTCCCTTGCATTCTTACAAGACTCTCCTCTTTCCAGGAACGATCACTCTTAACAATGACCTTCTATAATCAAATAGACAAAAACTAGAATTTTTTTCCCACTTAAATAATTGGCTCCACTGAAGATTTTTCAGATCTATTAAGGTAGTGTCCAGGCAGAACTGTGGGGGCCATATTTGAGATTTAGTATTTTCTGATCTTGGAGGCCATGTTTTAAATCTGAGAGTAGGGCCAGGGGTACCTACACAGGTAGATGACATAGGCAAGTTTTCTCTAGGGACTGTAGGAATTACTTCAACATCCTAGGAAATAGAGTAATGTAAGAACTCCCACTCTAGGTATGGTGGTACATGCCTATAATCCCCACT